ATACTGTACAAACAGACTTCATTCAGTATTTATTGTAAGTAAAGTAAGTTATATATCACTGTTTTCTGTAGTATCAAAATTGGAAACCTTTACACTTGTTATGTTTACCTTTACCTTTACTCTTCTGAATCAATACTAACATTTTTAGTCACATCCTGAGTTTTAGTGTGAGGTTTGCCAACCTGGAAAGGGGAGATTTAGTTAAACTCTCGTCAGGATAAATGAGGGATTTAGGACTGTATGTGGGTAGTGGCATTGGACACAAGCACCTTTACAAATTAAACCAATTTACAGTACAATTGTGTCACATTTTCCATACAACAAATATTTCTAGCTTGCTTTTTTTTCTTTCAAAAATGTAAATTTTAGTGAGGGTTTGGACCTGTCCAGAGCATCACATAAGATGCATGATGCTATTGTGACCTTAGGGTCAGCACCTCCTTGGTGCCCTGTCAGGATTGACACCACTGTGTTTATTGGAACACGGAAGCCGAGATGGCAATTACTATGTCACACCGTCGCGCGAGCAATCCCGTAAGTGGACAGATGGATTCGTAATGTCAGCTGATCATGAGACAGCATGTGGAAGAGACTCAACCTCCAATTAACAATTAACAAGGATTTAATCAAAAATAAATGGGAAAGGATACAGAGGTTCTAAGTTTTGTTGCGGAGAGAGAGAGTTCACATAACGAGTGTGAGTTTCATAAATGCCTGGTGATAAAAGGTGATCTCCCGATGGAGCTCTCATTGTTTGATAATAGTTCCAATGGTGATTAGTTCCAATATAATATCCACTAGCACAATGATGGCACAAGGTATTCAAATGGCACTGGTCAACGATATTCCGGGAATAATCAGTGCGGGATTCCTTTGTCGGAGGGATGGATGATGACTGACTTTTTCCAGCCATCTCTAGCAATATTCACGGACGATATCGGCCATCCAGAAGTTAAAAGATCACAAGAAAGCATCATGTTGCTTTCGATAAAATGTAACGGGAGACTTTCTCAGATAGCTACGAACAACAATTATTACGTAACTCGAACAATATTAATATTAAAGACTAGTTCGAATATAGGAACTTCTGCTACCTCACACTATAGATCCCTAATTAGAACCTTTAAATTCAATGTATTACATTGAATTTAAAGGTTTATTTCTTTATTTCACAACTGTCACACTCGTCTCGAGTCTTATTCATTACTTTATCATTAGATTATGTGAGTGTAGAATAAAGAAATGCTATTGAGAATTGTCATAGTAGTTTTAGAATTGAAATTATTAACTGTTATTTACATATTATTTTTTTCTCAACTATTTACTGACTGACTATTTTTGATATTGTAATACTGTCATAGACAGAGACAAATACATTCAACAAGGCATCCATATTTTTAATGACATTTACAAGCTCCAAAGATGATCTGTTTAGCAGAAGGACAAAACTCACTCTCATCTCTATCATATGAATATTGAAATGGTCTAGTGACCGTCATGAGAATAAGAAAATGCTTTCATTTGTCACTGGTGAAATGAGTAAGTTAATGGTCTGATAAAGAAACACACTAAAATGCCACTGAATCTAAAACATACCTTATTTTCACAGATATTAAAACAGTAAAATTGCTAAAAATGAAAATTTCGTAAAACATTTTAGTAAGGTTTTGTATAGGTGCAAAAAGAACCCACTCTATAAAAATTGTCAAAATCCAGTATCATGAAGGTTAACTGCCGCCTGATATGGTGACTCTCAGATTAGTGAAAAGGTTGGATTAGCTGAGTTATACAGGGTCTGTCACAAAGTTTTAAGAATGGGCAGAGATAAAATCATCAACAATAATAATTGAAACTGATCTTAGTCAATTTTAAAATAATCCCCTTTGTTGTCTATACACTTCTTCTTGAAGTGTCTGTACTAATTGAATGCTTGTAATTTTGACATTACCTCATCTCTGTATGCTTGTTTTATCATTTTGTAGGATCTGTGCATGTTTTACCCAATTTCGTATAGAATATCAGATTTATTTGCTGCTCCAGAATTGCTCACTTATCTTTTCCAATCACATAGCTTGTACTGTAAAACTCTCTAAAGTATTCAAATTAATTATTTAAAATGATGGAGTCGCAATTACGTAAGAATTTGATAAATAATCTATTTCTCTACAATACAATTACGTAAGAATCTCTAAAATATTATTGTAAAATGGTATGCTGCAGAGTTCTGGAAAAAATTACAGTATGTGAGCAAAGATTTGAGGTTTATACCAGTGAAATAACAAGTGCAAAATCCTCTTGATTTTCAACAAAAAAAAATTAGTCCAGAAACTTTTGGGCAGATTCTGTATATACAGAACAGAAAGCCAAAAAAAGGGCTACAGACAAATATATGTATTTAAAAAATTTGTATACTGTATTTTATTCATATAGTCATGTTAAAATGTATTGTATCAATTAAATTTTGCAGATTTTTCATGTTTTTAAAAAATAATGCATTATCTTTTTTTGTTTGTTCAAACATTCAGCAAAAAAAAAAAATCTATATACACTCTTCAAAAGTGAAATCCTAACACCATTAAGGAATACATGTAGCCACTTGCACATTGCAGGACTGGTAGAGGTGACAGAGATATGCAAATGATTAAAGGAACAAGCAAAGATATGTAGCAGACACTTGTTTTTTTAGTAATTAATATGTCCCCACAGGCAGCTATACAGTGAAGCATACTACTAATAAGGTGATTAATGGTTGCCTGAGATATCCCTTGCTCTGCTGCATCCACGACAACATGCATATCATTTTGGTTCACCTCACATCAGACGAGGTACCATGGGTGATGAGAGAGAGAGAGAGAGAGAGATCTGGAAAGGCTGATGGCCAGGGAAGGATGTGAATTCTGTTTAAGCTGGTGAGAGTTTACTGTGCAATGTGCTGTTGGGCATTGTCTTGCTGGAACACCATATTGGGTGCAGTTTGTACCAGTGGCCAAACCACAGACCCCACAATTTGTGTAATGTACTGGTCCGCTATCAGAGTACCAGAAATGTGCACCAGAGCTATCCGCTGATTGAACATGATGCTTCCCCAAAACATGATGTCCATTATAGGACCAGTGTGATGCTTTGAAAAATGAGCTGGCATGTAGACACACACTTCCATGGCTGTCATTCCTCACAGACAGAAGCAGGATTCATCTGTAAACAATACCTGATTCCATTCAGTAGTCCAGTTGTGATGATGATGATGACACCATGCCAGGCATGCAGCCCTGTGTCAAGTGGTTAATGGCACCCTCATTACTGGTTGCTGTGTGTGCAACCTGACTTCATGCAATCTGTTGTACGGTTTATGTAGACACAGATGCACTGTTGAGGCAACAGGCAGCTTTGGATATCACATGCTGTGGTGAACAAGTTCAGCAAATCTGCTGGTTTGTGCTCTCTGTCTTGGGTCAGTGCAATCTACTCCCTCTTTGGCATGTTCCTGTGTCCATCATGTTACACATGATGGATGGTACTCACATCACACTGGATGGTACTCACATCATGCCCAAATGCCCAACATGCATGGCAACTGTGTGTGTCCACAAATCGAGGTTACACTCTAGGACAGGGGTGTCTAACCTTTTAGTTTCTCTGGGCCACATTGGAAGAAATTATAGAGTTTTGGGCCACAACTAGCTTAATAACCAAAAAAAAAACAACATAAAATATATAGTTTTCATATTTAAATATTTAAAGTGTATTAGAACTTTTTTTATTATAAATACAGAACATGGAATTCGTTTGGCATTATTTTATACATTTTATGTATAATTCCAAAACATAAAACTAACGTGATATTTGGCATTGTTGTTGAGAAACTAATGCATTAATATCTGGTTCGATTGAAGTAGTTGCAATTTGCAGGCAGCCCTCAAGGTGTTCATTCGATATTTTAGTTCTAATTTTACAGTTAGTATGCTTCATTCTTGAAAATAGTTGCTCACATATGTAGGTGCTTCCAAACAATGACAACATGAATAACGCATGACTGTGCAGTGCAGGATATATGTCTCTGGGTAGGTATGATTTATAAAAGTCAAACAAATAGACGTGATCAAATTTCTCTTTAAGTTGGATGTCAGATTGCAACTCTATGCATTCCATTTGAAAAGTTGTTGGCAGCATTACTATATCGACTGTAAATGGAGTCACAAAAATACAAAAATTAAGATTATTTTTCTGAAAATCTATTTTCGAATTCTTGTATCAAATTGAAAAGTAAGGCCACATGTTTTTTTCCCTTTTTAGGAATATGTTTGGACAATGTGTTAAAATGCAAAAAGTTGTTCACATTTAATTGAGCCTGCCATAATTTCAGTTTTACCTGGAATGTGTTTATGATTTGAAACATCCCACTGATAAGTTGGTTTTTCCCTTGAAGACACGTGTTTAAGTCATTTAAATGACCAGTCAAATCTACCAAAAATGCTAAATCAGCAAGCAAGTTGGCATTGTTGAGTTCTGGCACAAATTTTGCTTTTGATGTCATAAAAGATTTGATTTCATTAAGTAGGTCATAAAATCTTTTTAACATTTGTCCTCGACTGAGCCACCTTACTTCTGCAAAGTATACGATATNCTGAGCTGTTCCGCGACGAAAACAATGTTGAGCAATGGCAATGTCGAATGGTGACACTCGGTAAGTAATCCTACAATTTTTTGTTTATAGCGTAGTTTATACGGATTATTCCCAAAAAATATATACGTATTTTGGAAATGTTGAGTCGGATTAGTCTAGAATCGATTAATTTTATGGAAGAAAATCTTTCAAACAGCCGTAGTCCGTAAACTTGACACGTGTTGGGTTGTGATTGGAAGGATTTGTAAGAAATCGGATTCCTAAAGAATGGAACGTATCTCTATCTTATAGGGGGGTCGACTGTAAATAATTTATCAAATTACACATTGATCCTTAATAAAAATTTTGAGAAATTTATTCCAACTTTTATTTTCAGATAGAGAAAGTAGGCTCTATAACAACTCATAGCAACTCTTTGAAACAAGGAAAGACAGCTGTATTTCCAGTCAGTATGAATGGAGAACCTGATGTTCTTTGGATTACAGAAATAGAACGGTAAGTATTTGTTACTAGAAAACATTCTTCTATAATTTTTTTAATGGAAAATATACTGGACAATTTTATTTAAATTAACATACTTATGTATTGTTAAATGAATACTAAAATAAAGAAAAATGGCAGAATAGAAAGTTTTATATTAAGTTAGCTGCAAGAATAACTACTGTAATGATGTTTGTGTGCTGCTCTTCTTAGCATGTATATAAATCTTTTAATTGAATTTTCAACTTTAAAATTTTTAATTTATTAATTGAAAAAATTATGACTAATAAACTTTGTTATATACAGTAATCTTATAACTTATCAATCATGTTATTTTCAACTTCATTGCATTTGAAAATAACACGATTGATAAGTTACAATCAAGAGTTAAACGCTTTGCTTCTACAAAGTTGGCTACCACATTAAATATGAAGAACATTGTAATGGACGCGCCTGATGCCCCTAAATTGTTTGCCTTTGCTAAAATACATAAGGAAGGGCAACAATTACGCCCTGTGGTGGATAAGGCCAAAGCTCCCACACAAAAACTGGAAGAAGCAGTACATAACATCCTTTCTCCACATCTTGAAGGATTCCAATTTTCCATCACCAACACAGTGGATTTAATAGAGCAACTTTAGAGCCGCCGCAAACTACAGGATGCGCGAGCGAGCGTACGCTCGCTCGCGCTCCTAAGCCCCGCCTTTTTTTCCATGATGCTATGCTAGGTAAGCTACCTAGTTTTTTCCATGATGCTATACTAGGTAAGCTATATTTTTGCTAGGTAAGCTACGCGGGCACGAAGCAGCCGCAAACTACACAACCTTTGCTCACGTAAAAATGCTGCATCATGGGAGATTAGCGACTAGTGTTGCCACCATACCGGTTTTAAATTCATGGTTCGGATTAATTATTAATTTGTCCCGTTTTCGTAGAAATTGTAAAATTATACAAAATAAATTTATAAAAATATTTGCAAGTATTTTATTTTAATAGTTAAAGACTACCTTCACACCTCCACACAAACTAATTGCCAAAAAGAGGCCCTCTCAACCCAGACAAGGTGGAAAGAGTTAAAAAAAACAAAACAAAACAAAAACCCCCCAAACTTATCCCACTTACAATGCCTCGGTATAACATCCTAATTTGAAAATGTCCGGGTCAACAATTTCAAAAAGGTGGCAACTTAGCGATCTATGTGAAGACGTGTTATCGTGCTTTTCCCTTTGAGTTAGGCGTGCTGGAAGATCATTAATTGTATCGTGTAATTATTCGACGATAAGAATGGGCGATTCTGAAGATAAAACAACTTATGCAGTGTGTGCCATAATAGTAGCGGAGCTGGAAAAACAAAACGAAAACAAACGGCGTAGAAAGAGGGGGCCTACCAAAACTTGGATAAAAAGACGAAAAGATAAAGGGGCCTTCTTGAACTTAAATCTAGAGTTGAGAGGCGAGGATCCTACTTCATACAGGTACGTTGGCTAACATGGCAATTAACATAACGTAGGCAGTTTGATGCCCTTTAAAGCACAAATATAATTAACAAATTGCATGTTTATTTCCAGGAGGTGGCTGCGGCTAACAGAAAGCCAGTTTGAGCATCTTTTGAATGAAATTTCCCCCAGAATTCAGAAGGAAAATACAAAGTTTGGGAAGCCAATATCTCCCGCTGAAAGACTGACTGTCACGCTCCGGTTTCTAGCCACAGGAAGTACATTTAGAGACTTATCTTGGGAATTCAGAATTGGCGAAAGAACGATATCTTACATAGTCACGGAAACATGTGCCGCTTTGTACGAGACCTTAAAATATACATTTCAAGTGCCAACATCGAAGGAACATTGGATGGCTATTGCCAAGCACTTCCAAGATCGGTGGAATGTGCCCCATTGTTTGGGAGCCATTGATGGAAAGCATATTGTGATGAGGAAGCCCATCAACAGTGGTTCTCATTACCATAATTACAAAGGGACTGAATCAATTGTTCTTTTAGCAGTTGTGGATGCAAATTACACATTTCGGTAAGTTGATGTGCAGAAGGGAAGAAACAAGTCTATTCTGTACTTCCAATGCCTTGTTAACAATAATGTGTATATCAAAATAGAAAACAAGTGATAATAATTAGTAGATTTTTAATTAATTTAATTATACCAAGGGCTAAAAGCATTTTCTTTATTTTGATTTTCTAGATATGTTGATGTTGGCACACAAGGTAGGATCAGCGATGGAGGTGTGTGGAACAAATGCAACTTAAAGGAGCTTATAGATGTAAATGCTCTTGACATACCTCCAGCTCATCCGCTTCCAGGTCAAGACATAGTCACACCATATGTCTTCTTAGCCGATGATGCTTTTGGCTTGAAACCGTATATCCTGAAACCTTATGGTGGAAGTGATTTGACTCTGGAAGAACGGATATGCAATTACAGGTAAGCATTCAGTGGCTAATGCAACTGCATCTTGCAGCATTATACCAGTAGGAAAAGGGTAGATGGTATAATAAAAAAAAACCCGTGTGATCTTGGAAAATTGATAGAGCAATAGTTGGATTAAACATATCTTTTAATTGTTTTTAGAATTTCACGTGGCCGCCAAGTAGTGGAGACAGCTTTTGGAATTTTTTCAAACAGACTACGGGTGTTCCTGAACCCCATACTGTTGCAGCCAGACAAAGTGCGCACATTAGTACTTGCTGGTTGTGCGCTTCACAACTTTTTAAGGAGCCATGAAAACACAGCATCATGGCCAGTCGATTATGTGGACAGAGAAGATGTGGAAACCGGTATCACTGTGCCTGGTACATGGAGGAGTGAGATTCCTGTACAGCCCGGGACAGATATACATCTTCCACAAGTGGCCACCACCTACTCCAACTTTTACAGCTCAGAGGCAAAAGCTGTAAGGGATAACTTTAAAGAATTTTTCATGTCCGATGTTGGTGCCGTTTACTGGCAACATCGTTTTGTGTAGATATTATGTACAATTGAAAGAATTAAAAATAATGTAATAAAACAAACATTTATTAAACATAACATAATAAAACAAACATTTATTGCTTTAAAAATTGGCCCTTGATTGTTTATAATATTTGAGCAAAATGCCCTGTATTTCATATTTGGCTTCTTCCCGCAAGTCTTCATTAATTTTCATTAAACTGAGGGCGACGTGATTACCAAAATTTTGTTCTATACATGCTGGGGGGTTGCTGGGCTTGTTTGCCAGGTAATCCACAGCCCTTTTGTACAGCTCGGAATTGAGAGAGGAAGATGACACATGCGATGTCTTTTGTCTCTTTCTTTTCTCTCCTCTGTCAACTGTAATTTCATCGTCCATCGGATGGGGACTAGACGGCTGGCTGTTTGATGTCGATGTCGATGTCGTTGGCATTACTGAGTGACTTCCTGAAATCGAGCTACTTGCTGGAGTATTTGGTTCCATGCTTTTATTTATTGCGAAAGATAGCTCTTGGAAGTCATTTCCTTCAGTACACATCGAGTCTTCTCTTTCTGTAGCTATGGGTTGACTACACTTGTCCTGAAATCAAAACCAGCATTGCATTATTAATTAATTAAGGCATGTGCACTACATGTTGTAGTGTACATGTCTAATGACCATGTTAGAATGTGACATTCATATATCAAATCATCCATAACTGGTACAAGGCAACAATCAATGTTCTAGGTAAGCAACTATACTGTTGCCACCATCATACCACATTTATGTGGCCAACATTATGTTTGCACTTACATTTTCAAGTGAGGTGCTGAGGCTGATGGTATCCTCACTTTTATCTGCCTGCATGGAGTCCCTCAGGTAACCCATCTGGTCGAAATGCAGAAATCTGATTTTGTGCATATTATTAATGCCCACTCCAGATGACTTTGATTTCTGCAGCTTTGATAGTTCCCTCTTATATGCATCTTTCATAAGCTTAAATTTTTGGCTAAGGATCTTGTTTGCTGCAAATTATAATGGAAATGTTTAAGTTGTTATTTTCACTTTGCTAAACAATCAGTTTGAAAATTGGGATATGACTGAATAGATTATAGCCTATTACATCATACATGTATATTGGCTATTGTATCATATACATTTATGTAAGCATATAATTTGGAAATGCTGCTATCACTGTGACAAACATGCCTTGTGTATGCAAGATACTATATAGGCTATAATTTATTTCTGACATCTTCTAAACATAATTGCAATGATTTTAAATTACAGTCTGTTACAAAAGTATAGGAACACTATAAATTTTGT